GTACCAGGAGTCTAGAGCCAGGAGTCTAGAGCCAGGAGTCTAGTACCAGGAGTCTAGAACCAGGAGTCTAGAACCAGGAGTCTAGTACCAGGAGTCTAGTACCAGGAGTCTAGAACCAGGAGTCTAGAACTAGGAGTCTAGTGCCAGGAGTCTAGTACCAGGAGTCTAGAACCAGGAGTCTAGAACCAGGAGTCTAGAACTAGGAGTCTAGTGCCAGGAGTCTAGTGCCAGGAGTCTAGAGTCAGGAGTCTAGAGCCAGGAGTCTAGTACCAGGAGTCTAGAACCAGGAGTCTAGAACCAGGAGTCTAGAACTAGGAGTCTAGTGCCAGGAGTCTAGTGCCAGGAGTCTAGAGTCAGGAGTCTAGTGCCAGGAGTCTAGAACCAGGAGTCTAGAACCAGGAGTCTAGTACCAGGAGTCTAGAACCAGGAGTCTAGAACCAGGAGTCTAGTACCAGGAGTCTAGTACCAGGAGTGTAGTACCAGGAGTCTAGTACCAGGAGTCTAGAACCAGGAGTCTAGTACTAGGAGTCTAGTACCAGGAGTCTAGAACAAGGAGTCTAGTACCAGGAGTCTAGTGCTAGGAGTCTAGCACCAGGAGTCTAGAACCAGGAGTCTAGCACCAGGAGTCTAGTACCAGGAGTCTAGTACCAGGAGTCTAGTACCAGGAGTCTAGTACTAGGAGTCTAGTACAAGGAGTCTAGAACCAGGAGTCTAGTACCAGGAGTCTAGAACCAAGAGTCTAGTACCAGGAGTCTAGAACCAGGAGTCTAGTACCAGGAGTCTAGTACCAGGAGTCTAGTACTAGGAGTCTAGTACAAGGAGTCTAGAACCAGGAGTCTAGTACCAGGAGTCTAGAACCAAGAGTCTAGAACCAGGAGTCTAGAACCAGGAGCCTAGTACCAGGAGTCTAGAACCAGGAGTCTAGAACCAGGAGTCTAGTACCAGGAATCTAGTACCAGGAGTCTAGTACCAGGAGTCTAGTACTAGGAGTCTAGTACCAGGAGTCTAGAACCAGGAGTCTAGTACTAGGAGTCTAGTACCAGGAGTCTAGAACAAGGAGTCTAGTACCAGGAGTCTAGTGCTAGGAGTCTAGCACCAGGAGTCTAGAACCAGGAGTCTAGCACCAGGAGTCTTGTACCAGGAGTCTAGCACTAGGAGTCTTGTACCAGGAGTCTAGCACTAGGAGTCTAGAACCAGGAGTCTAGTACCAGGAATCTAGCACCAGGAGTCTAGTACCAGGAGTCTAGTGCTAGTAGTCTAGCACTAGGAGTCTAGTACCAGGAGTCTAGAACCAGGAGTCTAGTACCAGGAGTCTAGTGCTAGTAGTCTAGCACTAGGAGTCTAGTGCCAGGAGTCTAGAACTAGGAGTCTAGTACCAGGAGTCTAGAACCAGGAGTCTATTACCAGGAGTCTAGTACTAGGAGTCTAGTACCAGGAGTCTAGTACCAGGAGTCTAGTACCAGGAGTCTAGTACTAGGAGTCTAGTACCAGGAGTCTAGTACCAGGAGTCTAGAACCAGGAGTCTAGTACCAGGAGTCTAGTGCTAGTAGTCTAGCACTAGGAGTCTAGTACCAGGAGTCTAGAACCAGGAGTCTAGTACCAGGAGTCTAGTACCAGGAGTCTAGCACTAGGAGTCTAGTACCAGGAGTCTAGAACCAGGAGTCTAGAACCAGGAGTCTAGTACCAGGAGTTTAGAACCAGGAGTCTAGTACCAGGAGTCTAGTACTAGGAGTCTAGTACCAGGAGTCTAGTACCAGGAGTCTAGTACTAGGAGTCTAGTACCAGGAGTCTAGAACCAGGAGTCTAGTACCAGGAGTTTAGAACCAGGAGTCTAGTACCAGGAGTCTAGTACTAGGAGTCTAGTACCAGGAGTCTAGTACCAGGAGTCTAGTACTAGGAGTCTAGTACCAGGAGTCTAGTGCTAGGAGCTAGTACCAGGAGTCTAGAACCAGGAGTCTAGAACCAGGAGTCTAGAACCAGGAGTCTAGTACTAGGAGCAGTGGGCAGCTATTGCACAGCGCCCGGGGAACAATGGGAGTGGGGGGGGGAAGGGGGTTGTCCGGTGCTTTGCTCAAGGGCACCACGGCAGGGCAGGAGGTGAACTGGGACCTCTCCAAGTAGCAGTCCACACTTCATATTTAGGTCTGTTCGGGGACTTGAACCGGCGACCCTACGGCTCACAGTCCAAGCCCCTACTGACTGAGACCCTGCCGGTAGATATTTCATCTTTAGGACTGATTAACATCTATTTACAGTCGTTTTATGAGTCATTTAGCATCTGTGTAGGATGCTTTTGAGTCTATGTTAAGTCTTATTATGTTTCTACGTGGTAATTTGACATATCTTTGTAGTAGTTTGGGGTGTTTCTGCATGTCCTTGTTATCTTTTTGATGCTCTTTGTTGTCATTTTGTGAGTTTTTGTGGTGCTTTGTTTATTTCCAGTCGTTTCTCAGTCGTTTTCTGGTGTTTTTGCATCTTTTTATTAAAATGTTTGCTACCTGGGACTGATTTACGTCTATTTTAAGCCGTATTATGTGTCTAAGTCTCACGGCATTTCGTGTTATAGTCACGAAATTAATCTATTGATTCGTGTTCACCAACACGATTTTCCCATTTTTTCCGTGTCACACAGAACGATTTTAAAAGCAATGTAAATAATAACAAATTAGAAGGAAAAACAGATAAAAAAAAATACAGATTTCAGTATTCTGACACAGAACGATTTTAGAAGCAATGTATTTCTATTGGTAGTATGTTTCGTGCCTGCACCAAATAATAACAAATTAGAAGGAAAAAAAGATGACATAAAATACAGATGTCAGTATTCTGAGGCTCTGAGACATTTCTTTTCCTCACTGACGGCAAAAAAACTCAGACATTATACAATTTAAAATAAAAGGGATAGGGTTAGGCTTAGGGTAAGATATTGAGTAAGAACATGTTTTTATGAACCACACAGCTTCTGGTCTTCCAAGACCCGACCGGACAAAAAGACGTGTTGCAGGCACGAAACATACTACCAATAGAAATACATTGCATTTAAAATCGTTCTGTGTGACACGAAAAAAAGGTGAAAATCGTGTTGGTGAACACGAATCAATAGATTAAATTAATTTCGTGACGATAGCACGAAATGGCGTGAGACTGGGTTGAATGTACATGCGTGTTTTAGTAGTTTTGATTCTCTTTGCAGTGTTTTCGCATCTCATTATCATTTTGCACCTATTTCTTCTCGTTTTGTGTTTTCCCGTGTGCTCTCAGTCGGCCCGGTGTTGGAGGTAACCGGCTCCGAATAAAGCTCCTCCTCCTCTTCCCTTTGGACCGATGAAGAATTAAAGTGAAACCATGTTGATCCGCTGTGATGAGCCTCTGTCAGCAGGTGGCTGATGGCGTGAGAGCCTCTTCCTCTTCTTCTCCTCCTCTTCATCACGACGAGCCTCAGACTCAAGGCCAGGTCATCCATTAAACATGGCCGTCTAAAAATAAAGGCCGCCTCCTTTAATCTGGGCCAGAGCTGCGAAGGGTTCATCAGCACATGAGAGAGGAGAGACAAAGAGGAGGACGAGGAGGTTTCATCTTCATCCTCAGGACCTCTGATCTTCTCCTCATGCATCATGCAGCAGGAAACACTCTTAATGCAACAGGACATGTAATCAACTGACAGTGTTGGGAAGTAAATTACAGAATGTATTCACATGCAAACAGTTATTTTGTATAATTTACTGATCAGGAATAATGTTGTATTTCATGAATTATGTTTATTTTAAATATGTAATTAAGTCACAATTCAAAAACCAGGGTTTAGTCTGCACCGGGTAACAGGGCCCTCAAACCTAAATGAAGACTTTCCCCGTAAAATGTTAAAGTGATGCCAGAAAACAGTATTTGTGTTCGTCAAAAAACGCAGTATTTTATTAGAAATAAAAAGTAAATCAATAAAAATCTTGTTCACAAATAAAAGTAAGAAAATATATTTTCCAAATATTTTATTTTGTGCACAAGGCAAATCTTTATTTCTACTGTTGATATGTGTTTGTTTACTGTTTTATTATTATTATTATTATTATTATTATTATTATTATTATTATTATTATTATTATTATTATTATTATTATTATTATTATTATTATTATTATTATTATTATTTTAAACTCATTTCTAATGCCTTGTTGTATTATATTGCAAATCCCAGAGGTGTAAAGTAACATTTACTCAAGTACTATACTTAAGTACAATTTTGTGGTACTTAGTATTTTTGTTGCTACTGGTTACTTCTACTCCACTACAGTTCAGAGGTAAATGGTGTACTTCTACTCCACTACATGTATTTAATACCTTTAGTTACTTCACAGATCTGGATGAATGATGTGAAATATAATCAAGTGTTAAATCAGACTTTAGTTCCACCTGGAGTAAATCCACAAGCTACCCTGCAGTATACAAAGTCATTCAAACTAGCTGCACCTTTACCAGCTTTGAGAACACTTTCATGATCAATCATTATAAAACATATCATATATATTATTCTGAAATGGACCAATCTGCACAACGACTACTTTTACTGTCGCTACTTTAACTATATTTTTTATTTAAGTACCAGATCTGAGTACTTCTAGTTTTACTCAAGTACAAAATCTGAGTACTTCTACTTTTACTCAAGTACACGATCTGAGTACTTCTCCTTTTACTCGAGTACAAGATCTGAGTACTTCTACTTTTACTCAAGTACAAGATCTGAGTACTTCTACTTTTACTACCAGTTCTGAGTACTTCTCCCTCCACCCCCCTCTTGCCGCTCCTCGCTGCCCGGAGATGAGGCGCAGAATCCGGCTGCAGGTTGGAGAGAGAGAGGGAGGCGGTGGAGGTTTTTAGAAAATCACATGGTTCACATTTGCAGCTCCGTGAGACGCCATTTTGGAGGAAAGTTTGTAATTTGTGAACCTGGGGAGGTGGAGGAGGAGGAGGAAAAGAGGAGGGAGTGCAAGTAAGGAGAGGAGGAGGAGGGGTTTACACTGGGAGAAGTTTGACACGAATGCAGGCTGTTACTGGGATACACACATAGGAAGTGTGCGTACCAGTGCGGGATAAACCAGTCTGGGTTTGTCACGGATAGGTGTGCCTCCACAGGCTGAAGTTTGATATTAATATTTCTGGGATTATCATTAAAACCCTCCAGCAGCTCCTTCATGGATCTTAAACTGTGTCTGCATGGCTCACGGTGCTGACACTTTCTAGCGGTCAGCCTGCGCGGTGCACGCCGGGGCAAGGAGCCTCTCAGGCGGGGAAGTACAACACGAAGAGTCGGTGACCTACCGGAGCTTTTTTTTGTTGATTTTCTTATATTGGATATTACTTTTTTTTTTTAACCGGATCTGTTTCTGATCCTCCCCCCTCCTCCCCTGGAGACTTCTGTTTTTATCGGTGTGTCAGTTTCCCTGACAGTGAGTTTGTTTGGTGGGAACTTGCTGTCGTCGTGCCGGATTTCTGGAGACCTGGAAGAGAATAACCAGCACACACACCGCCCTGTGTGTGAGGAGTGTATGTGTTTCACACTGAAGTAGAACCGAGCCGAGCCAAGCCATGCCAGTGAGGAAGAAAGGTAAGCCTTTTAGCTCTGCGGCTAACCACTGCCTGTAGGGAGAAACTGCACCCTGGTTTTAACACAAAAACACCCACAAAAACAGCCAGTAACACGGGTATATCACTCTTTCATTAACCCAGACAGCACGGCTTATATCGGCCTCACCGAGCCGTGCTGTGCCGGGCTAGTTAAAGTGAGTTAAAGTAAGGAGCTAGCCGCCGGTTAGCCTCTGGAGCTAACCAAGTTGTATATGGGGCACCTTGTCTGGAGAGCAGCCCAACTAAAAATAAACTCTTATAATGATAAAATATTTACAGCAGTCCTGCACAGCCAGGAGGTTAGAGGGAGAAACATGGAGGAAATACTATACTTATCATATTATACACCTGTGCAATTTCACTTTTATCCTTGAATAATAATCCCAAATGGTGTCAACAGTGAGTTCAAAGCAACCTAACCTATGGTAATAACTTGAAATATATTATTTTAAAGGTTTTTATTTGGTAAATATCTGTACTCTGCAGGTTTTTCTACAAATAATCCTAATAAAGAGAATTTAAAGAATGTTTTAATAGAACATTTAGTCATTAAACTTCCCTTTGCTCCACTTTACGCTCCATCAAACAACATATAATCTGATTTATAAATTAACTGTAGAAACATGAAAACATAGACAAATATTCTCATAATTATGATTTTCATACACTTTTGCTTGAAAAAAAATCCCAAATGGTGTCAACAGTGAGTTAAAAGCAACCTAACCTATGTTAATAACTTGAAATATATATTAGTACCAGGAGTCTAGAACCAGGAGTCTAGAACCAGGAGTCTAGTACCAGGAGTCTAGTACCAGGAGTCTAGTACTAGGAGTCTAGCACCAGGAGTCTAGAACCAGGAGTCTAGAACCAGGAGTCTAGTACCAGGAGTCTAGTACCAGGAGTCTAGTACTAGGAGTCTAGTGCTAGGAGTCTAGTACCAGGAGTCTAGTACCAGGAGTCTAGTGCTAGGAGTCTAGCACCAGGAGTCTAGTACTAGACTCCGAGTACTAGGAGTCTAGTACCAGGAGTCTAGAACCAGGAGTCTAGTACCAGGAGTCTAGTGCTAGGAGTCTAGTACCAGGAGTCTAGTGCTAGGAGTCTAGTACCATGAGTCTAGTACCAGGAGTCTAGTACCATGAGTCTAGTACCAGGAGTCTAGTACCAGGAGTCTAGTGCCAGGAGTCTAGTACCAGGAGTCTAGTACTAGACTCCGAGTACTAGGAGTCTAGTACCAGGAGTCTAGTACCAGGAGTCTAGTACCAGGAGTCTAGTACCAGGAGTCTAGTACCAGGAGTCTAGTGCTAGGAGTCTAGTACCAGGAGTCTAGTACTAGACTCCGAGTACTAGGAGTCTAGTACCAGGAGTCTAGAACCAGGAGTCTAGTACTAGGAGTCTAGTACCAGGAGTCTAGTGCTAGGAGTCTAGTACCAGGAGTCTAGAACCAGGAGTCTAGTACTAGGAGTCTAGTACCAGGAGTCTAGTGCTAGGAGTCTAGTACCAGGAGTCTAGAACCAGGAGTCTAGTACTAGACTCAGAGTACTAGGAGTCTAGTACCATGAGTCTAGTACCAGGAGTCTAGTACCATGAGTCTAGTACCAGGAGTCTAGTACCATGAGTCTAGTACCAGGAGTCTAGTACCAGGAGTCTAGTACTAGACTCCGAGTACTAGGAGTCTAGTACCAGGAGTCTAGAACCAGGAGTCTAGTGCTAGGAGTCTAGTGCTAGGAGTCTAGTACCAGGAGTCTAGAACCAGGAGTCTAGTACTAGACTCAGAGTACTAGGAGTCTAGTACCAGGAGTCGAGAACTAGGAGAGGTGGGCAGCTATTGCACAGCGCCCGGGAAGCAATGGGAGTGGGGGGGGAAGGGGGATGTCTGGTGCCTTGCTCAAGGGCACCACAGCAGAGCAGGAGGTGAGCTGGGACCTCTCCAAGTAGCAGTCCACACTCCATATTTAGGTCTGGTCGGGGACTTGAACCGGCGACCCTACGGCTCACAGTCCAAGCCCCTACTGACTAATCACTGCAGCACTTTCAGCTGTGATATAGTGTTTAAAAGTATCCTTTCTTATTACTGGCTCCATGTAAAGACTATTTTAATAATCAGTTTATGTTATTATACTTATCACTGAGAAATGCCTCGGACCCAGAGAGAGGCTAAATATCACTTTTTATTTTTGGACTCAACAAATAACACAATTTACTTGAAATTATTGAGGTTTTTATGTGTTAAATATCTTCTTAATTCTACTTCCCTTTACTCCACTTCACCCCGAATCAAACGACATTTAATCTGATTTCCTTTGGTTTCTATTTGAGTCAGGATTTGATTTATTCAGCTGCAGATTTTGAAGTTTTGATCCTCCATAAACCTGTCATCCGCCTATTAAAGCTTCTTTATTCAAACTCAACTCTCCACACAGCCCTTTTTAAATCTTATTATTATTATTATTATTATTATTATTATTGCAGCAGAAATGTTCATTCAGATCAGTATTTCATAATAAATAATATCATACCTCTGCATTCTGCGTACTTCTATACTTTACATTTATCTGATATACTTGTGCTGTTCAGGAGGACTTTAACTTGGAAAGGAGTATTTCAAACTAGTATTTGTACTTTTACTTAAAGGAGTCCACCCACTGCTGGTTTTCCATCTTCAGTGTAGTTGTGTATATGACAACAAAAACAACACAAATAGTGCAAGCTCAGGCGTTCAGCTGTCTTATAATAATAATAATAATAATAATAATAATAATAATAATAATAATAATAATAATAATAATAATACATTGGATTTTTATAGTGCTTTTGCTAACGCTAAAAATGCTCTTTACATAAAATCAGAAACAGTACCTTGTACCTTATGGGCTTTTTACAGTAAATGAAATGCAGGAGTTTGCATGCAGGAGTAAGTGACCTGGCGTCTGTGTTGCTCTGCAGATTTAGAGCTGCCCTGGGATCAGTTTTCATTAGGAGTATTTTAAAACCATAGTATTTGTACTCTTACTTAAAGGAGTCCACTTCCACCCACTGCTGGTTTTCCATCTACAGTGTAGTTGTGTATGTGACAACACAAACAACAAGAACAACACAAGTAGTGCAAGCTCAGGCGGTCAGCAGTCTTATGATAATAACAATAATAATAATACATTGGAATTGTATAGCGCTTTTCCTAATGCTCAAAGACGCTTTACATACAATCAGAAACAGAATCAGTTAGGGCTGTGCGATTATAGCAACAATCATAATCACGATTATTTTGGTCAATAATTGATATCACGATTATTAAAAACGATTATCCATTTACTTTGAAAACATCCATATATTGAAAAAAAAATTTGAACAGTATGTTTTTGACAGTTGATTACCCTGAACTTTAAGTATAATTAAACTGAAAAACCAATAAAAAAAATTAAAAAATAACATTTTCTTTTTTTTTTTAATAAAAATAATAATCGTTTTATTTCGATTACATTGTTTTCGTAATCGTTGCAAGCCAAAATCGTAATCAAGATTAAAATACGATTAATTGCACAGCCCTAGAATCAGTACAAAGAAAACATTACAAAAACCATATGGCCGTATTGCAGTGAAATAAATGCGTGAGTAAGTGACCTGGTGTCTGTGTCGCTCTGCAGGTTTAGAGCTGCCCTGAGATCAGTTTTCTCTCCCCTCCACAGATGCACAGCGGGCGCTGCTGCTGCTGGAGGATTATCGAGCGAAACTGCACAACGCAGAGGACCGGCAGCTCCGAGGCTCCATCCAGAGAGTCATCGACATCTTCCAGAGCAACCTGTTCCAGGCGCTCATCGGTCAGTGGATTCACCGACACACACTTTAATGTCAGACGACACGAGGTTCAGCTCTGTGAACCTGGAGGTGATGATAGGCATGTAGAGTAGGGTCTCCAGCTCATAGAAACTGCCGGATGCTAACCTGCAGATGTTGGGACATTTACACAATTAGCATAATATGTTTTAATTAACATTAGTTAGTAGGGCTGTGCGATTATGGCAAAAATCATAATCACGATTATTTGGGTCAATAATTGATATCACGATTATTAAATACGATTATTCATTGACTTTGAAAACATCCATTTATTGAACTTTAAAACAAATACAAATAATAATTTGAACAGTATCTTTTTAACTGTTGATTTCCCTGAACGTATAATTCAACTGAAAAACCAATACAAAAATAAATGATACATTTAAATAAATAATATCAAAATAATAAATACCAATAAACAAGATCAACAAATATTTTGGAGCGCACTTCAACAAGCTACTAAACATATATAAATATGATAAATACAAATAAATTAGACTAAAATAAATTAGATCAAATATGTTGCACAGTCACAACCTAGCAAAGCAAAATAATCGTTTTTTACGATTATGTTGTTTTCGTAATTGTGGCAGGCCAAAATCGTAATTGCGATTAAAATACGATTAATTGCACAGCCCTATTAGTTAGCATATGCAGACAATTTAAGGGTGGTTTTTGGAGGTTATTGAGGATGCTGAATTAATTTCTGACATTTTTAGGATTGAAAATAGCAGTTTTGAGTGAAATCTACACAAAATGAATCAAAATCAGCGCACCGAGACTACAAATATTACCACTTTCTGCCATTTATTAGCTTGACCATGTCAGAAATCAACATCCTCAATAACCCCAAAAACCACAGCAGCAGCTAAAGGAAGAACATCAGTTTTCTGTTGTGAGGAGAGGTTACAGGTTGAGATCTGTTTTAGTTTCCAAATGACTGGAAGTACGAAACAAGAAGTTGGCTCAAAGCTGTCTGGAAACTGACGTAAGAGAGTCAGCTTTCATTGTAGATTTTTGACTGGAAACTGACTGGAAACTGACTGAAGGTCGACATAAGAGAGTTGACTTTTATAATTGAAAGTTGACAGAAGGTTGACCTCAAGTGGACTGAAAGTTAAAAGTCAGAATTCCTAAATTTGAAAGTACGAAACAAAGAATTGACTCAAAAACTGACTGAGAGTTGACAGAAAGTTTACTGAAGGTTGACATAACTTTTATAATAGAAAGTTGAGGCTTCAAAAGTAAAAAGTTGACTCAAAAACTGAAAGAATGTCGACTTTTAATAGACAAAATGGACCGAAAACTCAACTGACAGAAAGTTGACAGAAAACTGATTGAAAGTTGACGTACGAATGTTGACTTTTGTTAATGAAAGTTATCAGAAAGTTGACTGGAAACTGAATGAAGATTGACATTAAAATATGTACTTGTATTATTGAAAGTGGACAGGAAGTTTAAAGGTGGGGTATGTCATTAATTTCAGAAACACTTTTTGTTATATTCCATGGAATGCTCTTAACATCCTGATAGCAATGAATATCTGAAGTGCTTTGACAAAACATTCAATATCATCTGTGGAAGCTGTAGTACTGTAAAAAGCACGACCAATCATCTGAGCCGGCCCGGCTAAAATAACTGGATGGCCTACCTGCCTGTCAGCCTTCCATCTGTGCACAAACTTATCTCGTGCCCTCATTGGTCATGTGCGCGTTCGTGTGTGTTGGAGGAGGGGCTCTGTAAGGAAGTGGCAGATTTGTTCCGACTGTGTATTTTCAAATTCTAGCGATCTCGAGCCGGTTTCTCAAACTGACCTACCCTACCTTTCAGGTTGAGTACGAAACAAAAAGTTGACTCTAAAACTGACTGGAAACTGAATGAGAGTTGAGATAGATAGCTTTTATTATTGAAGTTTGACAGAAAGACGACTGAATTTTGACTGAATTTACTTCAATGTTCAGATTAAAACATTGCAGCGAGCGGCTCTTTGTTAAACATCAGTAATAAAGAGACTTTTATGACTAATGCATAACTTCATAGATCTAACATCTTTTTTTATCCTCAAGTCCAACTCCGCTGACTTTATTTAAGATTTCATGGATATTTCCACAGTGCTTCTTGGGTAAGAGACAACATTGAAATAAATAATGGCTTTAAAGGGGACCTATCATGCAAAATGCACTTTTTGATGTCTTTTATACATAAGTCCCGGGTGTGTCAGGGAACTCACGCACTGTCAGAAAATAAAACCCTCTCTCTTTTCCTCCGTACCCAAATCTCTAAAAACGGGGGAACAACGGAGCTGATCCAGATTTGCGTCCGATATGACGTAATATCTGAAATGTGGACCCACGGCCCTATCAGAAACGTTGCTATCAGAAACAATGCCCGACTGTTTTGGACGTAATATGGTCGGTGTTTACATTAGCATGGCTAACACTCAGAGCTAACCTGTACTGGAGAGCATGTGTGTGAAGAAGCAGGAAATAAAAAGGAACTCGCCTTGTGGTATAACCGGCAAGAGAGAAAGCCTTTGAGCTCCATACTGTTTCAGAAACAATCCTTGATCTAATAATCCTTGCGTTTCATCACCGCAGCATTTCAGACAGTATCTGCCGGGTCCCGCATGAGCCGGCATAAGCTCCGCCCCCTCTTATTTTGATTTGTTTGCCTTTATTTATACAGGTGAAAATCTCATTGAGACACAGGGTCTCATTCTCAAGAGAGACCTGTTTATACCCAGAATCAGCACTTTTGAAACAGGAAGTGAAATAGAGGGATATGAGGCATGGCTAGAATGGGTGATCTGTTTTGTATTTTGAGCAAAACACTTCATAGACATGTTTTTTATATATTTTTATATATCTGAGACCTATGCTATTGCCTAAAAATAGCATGATAGGTGACCTTTAAATATTATGGGAACATGTTTCCAAAACTGTTGAATATATCAACATTTTTGCCAAATTTTAGGCGCTTAAGGTTCTTGGGGGAATTCTGAATTTACATGGAACATTTTTGTCCTTTTTGACCCTGTTGATTTCTGACCCGCTTCAGAAATGTGATAATTCAACAATAATAAGGTACATTTAAAAAACTTACTTTTTACATTTTGGGATGATTTTTCAAAGTGATTTAATTTCACAAAAATCAAGTATTTTTTCCTCCAAATTTAGCTATTTTTTTCTAACTTTTGTAATTTATCTCCTTTTATGTCCGACACTGTTTTCATTGTGTATTTTTCTTTAAATTGTTTTAAACGAGTATTATTTAAAGTGAGGTCATTTACAAAAACAAGGTAAAACGTTGGTCATTCGAATGGACATGTATACATGTTTGGATTGATAAATATATTTACATAAGTGTTAGCCTCTCCATCACCTCACAGGAAACACAGTGCTTTCAGGAGACGCGTGTACAAATCAGCTTTCAAACCATCAGCAGCCTTTACTCTTCGTCCTGCAAACCTCAGCGTCTTCATCACTAATAGATGAAGCTGCTTCCTGCTCCTCTTCCTCTCCTGTTCGTCACATCGGATGCCTTTACACCTCGTCAGCTCAGGTGCTGGGATGGTGTATTTCTGTGTTGGTCCCTGAAGGCAGCATCTCTCTGCTCCAATGGGATCTCTCCATGGGATTTTGGATTATTCATACTATTACTAACACAGGATAATCTAACTATTTATATTTGAAGATTTTGGTAATTTTTTCAACATTTTTAAAGTTGATTTTATTAAAAATGACAATTTGACTTTTTCTAGAAATCACTAAATGTTTTTTTTAAGTGATTCTCAAATGTGTCCAAAGTGAGGTTATTTAAAAAAAAAATAGGAAATATTTTTAAAAATAAATAATTTCCCGAAACTGAAATTATTTTTCAAAAAATCACAAAAATAAAGGTACTTTTAAAAACGTTGATTTATAAAAAATAAATAAAAGCGTAAGTAATTTCTGAAAATGTCGGAAATTCTGTTAAACAACTTTTTCAATGTTGATTTATTTAAAAAAAAAAAAGTTAATAATAATTTAATATAAAAATGTTGTTAAAATAATTTTTAAAAAAGCGGGGGCTTTTCATGAAATTTTCACGAAACTGTCTCAGGGCTTCTTAACATTTAACAACCTATTAATGTGTCATACCCACTTAACGGGAAGAAACTCAGCTATCTGACAATATTAACAAAGTCTAACGCCGAGCGTCTGAATTAGCACTAAGCGAAAGAGTGCTAACGCACTTAGCACATAACTCACGGTAGCAATCTTTTATACTTCATCAGATCTGCACAAACTAGATATCATATGAAAGCTGAGATTCCACAGATTCCAATGGTATACGTATCATCACTGTGCGACCAAAACTCACGGCAGCGAAGGCAAGCAAAGACAACACACAACTTCACTTTACGGAGCCAAAACGGCAAATACGTCTCACCTTTGCTGTTTTCTGATCAAAAGTAGTGTTCAAATGCATACAAACGCATATGAAGGTTGATCCAATGTCTCTGTGTCACTTTGAAATGATTACTGATAATCCATCATAACATTTATGGCAAAAAGCGTGGTTTTCATATAGAGTGTATGAGAGCTACAACCTAGGTTCCGGTTTTGGGCTTGCTGGCTGCGCTTCACTCTCATTCACCAATGGTAATGTTTAGATGGATTTAGGAACCCCCTCTCGATTGTATTGGCTCTAACGGTTAAAAAGAGGTGTCAACCACCAAAATCGACCAATGGGTTCCAGAGATATGGAAAATCCACCCAAATGACCCCAGAAGTGTTTGTTTGCTAAACCTCTCTAAAAAGGTCAAAGGTCACTTGTTTTGCATCAATCTTGATACAGGGTTCTTATTATATGTTATAGTTTGGATTCCTAAAGCTTTTAGTCTCCGATCCCATCCTTCAACGGTTAATTATTTTTTTTGGACGGACACTATAATTTACATTTTTTCTATGTTCAATCTGAATTTACTTTAAAATAAAAA